AGCAACCAAAGTGTAATCATTCAATCGGGTAATTATAATAATTAAATAAAGGGTTAAATGTAATCAGTGGTAATAACCACTCGAAATTGTAAAGTGTAATAATAAATAAAAAGGGGTTATTTTAATAAAAGTGTGGTGCAGTGAGTGTTTGTTCTACGACCTTGACCACTTTCCTCGTTTTCCTCGTGGGTTCCAACCCTTTGAGCGGATCGAATCCCAAAATAATATCTTGTTGCACCGAGAGGTACAACAGTAGTAATAGAGTAAGATCGTAAGAAGATGACCTTGCCGGTGATTTTCATGGTGATATTCGTGTTCAGCGCACCAAAAAACGTTAGAATACCAAGCGCCATAAAAATCGGAGGTATCAGGTTTTCGGAAGTTTATCCAAAATTCGAAACACGAAGTTACATTTCGATGATAAAATAGGAAAAAAGAAAAAAATGGAATATGACAAAGAAGAGAGAAAAGAAAAGATGGAATATGCAATCTGTTGTAAAGTGCAGGCTATATATTTTACTATATTTTTTTATTTTTGTCACATGTTCTTCGCTATGACCAGCAGCAAGAAGTGCCTCTATCAATTGTTTTTTAAGCACAGAGTTCGATGGAATTATCTATTCAATACCAGTCACATTAATAGATTAACATTGATTTTACAGTCTAAAATTGATATATGAAGAACAGTTTAATATCTAATAATGTTTAACAATTTTACTTTCAAATACAAATAAAGAAATAACTTACCTAAAAGATTGTAACTGATTCTTATTTTCTTTTTTCTCTTTTTTATATGTTGATGAATTGCACCCGTGCGGCCGTGTACGCAACAATATTTAACCATTGTAATAAAATACAAATTTCTTTCCTTTCCTCGATTGAACTGGTAAACTTTTAAGATTTATACTATAGAGGTGCATCCAGAAGCACGACCGCTCACTAAGCGCTCAATGAGCTTCTTTATCTGATTGGCATATTCCATTAGATCTAAAAATATAAACCAAACAAGTACAAGAGCTCAATGAGCGCTCAATGAGCGGTCGTGTTTCTGGATGCACCCTATATACGTAAGTTATCGATGTATCATTGAAGTACCAGGATTCGCTGTTTTACCATCAAAAAGTGATTTCGTGTTTCGGATTTTTGCCATTTAGCCCCCGGGGGCACGCGTGATGTTACAGCGTAAAAAGTCAACTAGCAGTCTATGATTATATAGTCAAAGATCAGTACTTATCAGGCAGCGAGGTTATATGTAACGTAAGTTATAGCAGCATTTAAATATAAATATGAGACCAATAAATGCAATAACGCGAATATAATTGTGTAAGGTCGTCAGGAATGACCGTTGTGTCAGGATGGTTGAAGGCAGGGGATATAGTGAGAATCGGTAAGGATAGGCAACTCAGATAACTCTGGAATAATAGAGGAAGGTCAAGCAAATAGTCAAGTTCACAGTTAAGCACTTTACTGTAGTGCACAGTAGGTTAGGCCTGTCGCGTAGTCGACAGGTCAAAGCAGTACAAAGTCCAAACAAAGAGTGTCCCGGCTCGCGCGGGAAGCAAACACGAACAACGACCCGAGAAGGGGGTCGGCCAATCGGTGACCACGAAGGGGACGCCGATCACTCGGGCCAATAGGCGCGAGGAAGGAATGCGTGCGCATCATCAGAGAGAGGCGCCGCGGACGAAGCGACAATTTAAACAAGGCGGAAAATATAAAGTAAAAGCTTGTCGCTTACAGTTCGGCCATTCGACCTCTGGTATTCGTCCCGAATACTTTTCCGGAACGAGTTTATATAACAAAGAAATAAACAAACGTATATAATAAACAGAACGCATAACAATGTTAAAGAAGTTATGAAACGCAACAACTTATAACTAATAAACTTATAATTTTAGAAACGCTTACAAATTATTACATTTTTCCTAAACATAAGCATAGTTAAATACAGTTATATAAATTTGAACATAAGTATATAGTTATAATATGAATATAAAGATTAAGAGTTGGGTACACTATAAATATAAATTAAGGTGTTACTGTCTTGATCCACGGCTTAATTCTATCCGGGGATAAAATGGAATTGTAGGGGCGTGACGTGATGTTGAAACCGGGTATATCGGTCACGACATATCTATTTTTATTTAGCACTTTGGCTATTTGGTAA